AATCTGACGACGCAAGAGAGAACTCTATTCGGTTTTCTGAACGCAGTCATTGAAGTACAAACACATAGAAAGCACCTCTCACAGAGTGTGAGTACTCTTTCGCGTCGCATGTTTAAATACCTCATTCATTAATTCACGCTGCAAAAATTGCTTTTATTGCTGAGATTTTTTGCTTTATTTTTTTGCCTTAAATCATGATGTATTTTCTATATAAGAAAAAATATGTATGATATTTAGTCTTGTTTCCTGGGGTAAACAAGTCAAATTAATTGCCAGCGGGGTAAGAAAAATAATCTTAATGAAAATGGAAACAAGATTATTTTTCTCACTGGGCCACTTTCATTTTCATCATGCAGACACGGTTCATGTGACAAAAATAGCATGCCTTTTTATAAGGGATCCTGTAGATGAGGAGGGTGCATTAATTCGTGGGGAATTACATTTACATCAGGAGAGGATTTGATTTAATTTATTTCTTTTGCCATATCCACATGCATATTTATTTGAACGGTACCATTTTTAAATGGCGTTCACTTGATAAAATCTTGTTGCGACCTCTAAGTAACCTAATAATTAGAATTTCCTTTAGGATTTCCAGTGTGGTTGGATGCATTGATTACACATTCTCACCATCGCACCTTCCGAAAATGAAGCTGATTACTGTATGGAATGGAAGTGCAAGATATATGCTGTATTTGCCATATCCACATGCATATTTATTTGAATGGTACCAAATGGCGTTCACTTGATACAATTTTGTTGCGACCTCTAAGTAGGCCTAACCTAATAATTAGAATTTCCTTTAGGATTTCCAGTGTGGTTGGATGCATTGATTACACATTCTCACCATCGCACCTTCCGAAAATGAAGCTGATTACTGTATGGAATGGAAGTGCAAGATATATGCTGTAACCACCGGGTAAGTCAACTCAGAGTTCAAGTTTTAACTCAGAGTTTGTTGAACCTCCTTTCTGGAATACACCCAGGTGCTGTGTTTGCATGTGGACGAACAGCCAAACCGTGTAGAAAAAGCTGCAGTTTTAAAAAATAACCGCATTCGGTGGCGAGGGCTTTAGTTCGTTATCGTCTCGTTGTCGTTGGTGAAAAAAATGTCAATAAACACTGCACTGAAGGTTTGATCAAAACCAACAGGCTACGTGATCAAATCCAGTTTATTTTTTATTTTTTTTAATCATTTGAACCAATTGCTTTGGAACGCTGGATTGCATTTGAAATGCTACACGCTGGCCAGATGTAAATGCAACAAAAACTCAAACCAAACATGCATCAAAACACCATTTACAAACCAATTGCAAATGATTTATTGAAAGTGTAATCCAATTAACAAATCATCTAGTACCATTAAATATGAAGTGTCTGTGTTCTTTTGTTCACTTGTCTTTTATTAACTTGATTTGTTTGTTTTATGGAGAGCTTGGTTAATCAGACTAATAAGAGACTTAATTAACGTGCCTACTACTCTTGCTTCTATACAACTGTGTCATTACCAGTGTTGGGAAGGTTACTTTGAAAATGTAATAGGTTACAGATTACAAGTTACCCTATTTAAAATGTAATAGTAGTGTAACTTTTTCAATTACTTTGTTAAAGTAATGTAACTGATTACTTTTGATTACTTTTCTAAATTTCTAATGAATGTTTATTTGCAACTATTAATCATTTTCAAACATTTACACCATGCAGGGTTAACCTTACAGTAGTGCTCAACACTGTCAGACGTTCAAAATTATTCATCACTTGAATTAAGATGATCAAATTTGAACACATCCACCACAAAATCAGACTTTAGTACCACTTTTTACTTTAAGATTGATCTAAAATTCAATGCAGATTTAAAATAATAAGACATAGTTTACTGATACTGTTTTTGAAACCAAATCTTTGCATAACTACAGGAAACACTGCATCTAACAATAGTTTGGAAAAAAAAATTGTTAATTAAAAAATAGTAATAAATAAAAGCATATACATCAACTCAAATACAGTTATCTAATAAGCATGTGTCCTATTCTGGGAACTAAACTCCTGAAACATTGGTGTCTTTTTGAAACATTGGTGTCTCTTTGTATATAATATGACGATAGTTTTCTCAAAATAAGTAAAATACTCATGAAGTGACTCAGAGCAGTTCTAGAGATTATTTTTATGTGTTCATGTACTCACATATTGAGGCGGCAGAGGCTGCAAACACAGCGAGCTTCAGTAGGCCTATGTGTAGTAAATGAAACCGCATGTCTGCGCCATTAATTTCCACGAGGGGCAGACTGGGAAAAAAATTTCAGGCTGGGAAATCTCACACTCATACACCCACAACAGATTCTGAAACGTGGACAACCCTATTTTTTGTATGGACCTCACATAAAAAAGGTTTAAATCCTTAGGTTGGGGACATGCAAAATAATTAAAAGTTCTCTCCTGAACTGCACCTTCACTTCCATTTTTCTTTTCAGTCTCTTTATTTTGCCCTGATATCTATCTCTCTCATGACTTTAATACTCAAGATTTAACAAAACTATACTTTCTAAATTGCCTACATGTCAAAATTAGTACATCACTACAATATCTTTATGGAAAAATCCTAATACTGAACACGAGTCATGTTTTTCCATTACAAAAATTAACCATGCTTTTATTATAGTAAAAGTACAATAACCATGTTTTTTTTTTTTTGGCAAATGGATTACCATTTGTATTTATTTTTACTACAAATTCCATGGTTAAATTATGGTTAGTGTATCAAAAACCGTGGTTAATTTGTGGTTACCATGGTTTGACAATAGTAACCATTGACTTTGGATTTATAGTAAAATCATCGTTAATTTTCGTAAGGGTTGTGTTGTTGTCTGCCCTAGCTCCCCTAAACCTATTATAACATATGATTATTTGTCTGCTAAATTACTACTGTAACATTACAATAGATAATAATGATGTCCTTTATACAGTATTCTGAGTGATGACTGATGAGCAATGGGCTGCTGCTGCTTAACTAAGTAAACAAAGACAAAACTACAATAGCATATTTACAGATGAATCTGACCTGCACTTGAAACCCTGAACAGCAGGCCTAGTTTTGCTTCTCTGCTCCACCTGTGCGCTTCCACAGTCCTCTCCATTCTCTCTCTCGCATTGATTACTCTGATCCAAACCGTTTGGCGGAGACGCAGAGAGCACGCGAGCCGAAGCTTTGCCAGTGACGACTAACCGATTCATGATTTATTAGAGATTTAATTATCGAATGGCGAATTCGGAAATAATCGCTATAATACATTCGGCAGGCAATTATACAATAATAATATTAAAATAGCGGGGCAAATCGGCTGCAGGCCACGGGGAATTGTCCCGGTTCTCCTGATGGCCAGTCCACGCCTGATTTCCACAGACACGCAGAACATGCAGGATTCATATATTAGACCCTTTCACACCACTTTAGTTCCAGAACTAAATATACGGTACTAAAGTACTGGGATGATTTTGCACGTACTATTTCCCAGTACTATTTAAAGGGTTGCATTCACACCGAGAATGTGTACTAAGAAGTGACGTTGTTCTGTTCAACAACAGAAACAAAGAAGAACAACGTTAACAACAGGAGGATGGAGGACGCTGTGATCGGAGCGGTGTGTTTGTTGTGTCTCGCGGGTTTCACAATAATGGACATGGAAAGTCGACGTATACGTAAAGCGATTGAAAGAACGGAAAGGAGGACTAAGAATCTCCAACGACAACTGGCAGTGCTACATTTGCTACAAGTGCCTGCACTTCAGCGTCCGTCCATCTATCGCTGTTCTCCATACTTGCGAAATAAGTTGATACAATGTTTACAGTATGTTTACACGGCGTTTTAAATCTTGGCGGGTGAGGGCGTTTTCGTACACGTTTTGCCAATCAGTGTCTACTTACGTCATGATTAGTATTAGTTGTGCCGGTTAGACCCTGCTCCGGAGTAGGAGCTAATTTGGTTCTCGAAAAAGGCAGTCCGGTATTAAAATCGCTCCCAGTTCCGGCGGTGCGAACACGCCGAAAAGTGGGTAGTTCCACAATTAGTTCTGGTACTATGAAAAGGTTCCTGTGGTGCGAAAGGCCCTAATGTCTTTTTGCGGCTTAATATTCACAGACACTAGTCCATATCGCGTTTTGATTCAAGTGTACTGACCTACTTTTGACCTATTTTATAGGAATTCCGTTTTTATGACTGGATTCTACAAACCAGTCTGTTTTCCGCATCGCGGAAATCATAGGGCTGTATGTCTCAGAGTAGTCAGTGCAATTCGGGAAAGAAATCAATTAAATCTGTATGTGGATGTGTGTAAATATTCAAATGTAATCCCCTTTGTAATAGTCAACATTTTCATAAGTAACTAATTTAATTACACATTTTTTCGTAGTAACTGTAACTGATTACAGTTACATTTATTTTGTAATTAAATTACGTAACGCGTTACATGTAACTAGTTACTCCCCAACGCTGGTCATTATAAATGTCAACAAATTTATAAAACTGATCTGAGATCAGGTAAAAAGACATATAAATGCTGGTTGATGGGTTCACTGAAGTCATCCACTAGCAGTGAATCACTGAAATCTTGAAACAGTTATGACGTAATGAAGCCTCATTGACTGAAATCACGTGACTTTGGCAGTTTGATACGCAGCTAAATTTGGTTCTTAATTTATCTTTTAGTGCTCAATCCTGTTCAGTATCCACACAGTAATTCACAGGAGTTAAAACTGCATTCTACAACCGAATTAACTCATGAAAATTCAGGAATTTGACACCTAACCCAACTCTTAATTAAATGAGCTTGAGACTTTGGACTGGAAATACAGTTTAATTTCAAAGCATTTTATTTTAATTTAACTTACCATGCCAAAGATACCAAAGTTAATTTTTATTTCAAAACTGACTCCACTTACAAATGAATAAAAAATAGACATCTGTGTCTAAACATGTTAAAAATCATATAACATACAGAAGATCTGCTTCTCTCATGAATCTTCTTCTGTGTGTTCAGGTGCTTCTCTAAATCTTCTCATCCTCACTTTCTGATCTTCCTGCTTCTTTCCTAAAAGCATCACATCATCATCATCATCATCACACTCTTAATATCTGCATGTCAAATCCATAATGATGATGATAAACGTCTCTCACCTGACGTGTGTCTCATGTAGATGTGAAAACCTCCTAACAGACCCAACAGAACCATCAGCTGAAGACACCAGACCAGCACAAACACCACAGACGCTGAACAACACAAACACAGCAGTCAATCAATCAATCAATCAATCAGACTATGTGTAGTTGATATCTGTAGATGAACAGAACTGATCTCACCAGGACAGGGTTTGAGTCTAGTGGTGTTCTGTGCGTGACTGACGTGGTTCTTCACGCTGCAGCTGATGTTTCCATCAGTTCCCTCATCCAGATCAATGCTGCTGTTTCCATCCATCAGTGGATCTCCATTCAGAGTCCAGCTGTAGAGGAGCTGATCCCCCTCAGAGGAGCAGGACACCCTCATCACCCCACTGGAGGAGCAGATGATTGACACTTCCACTGAGCCAATAGGAGCTGGAGGGAGGGACACATCACAGTCACATGACAAACACAGGAGAATCTTGTTCTTCCACACGACTCATACTATTACTGGAGTCTGTAGTGTGTTTACTGTGTGCTACAGGAATAAAAACCTTCACAGAGATTCAACGGATTGATCTGCATGAGAGTGAGATCTTTGGAGAACATGAGATTGTAATGAGTCTGATGAGAGAGTTTCTGTACCTTCAACAATCACTTGAAGATCTTCTGAGTACCATGAGTCAGGGAAATATAATTTGTAATTCCCTGAATCTGCACTGTTCACACGGTTTATTATCAGAGTCCCATTAATGACGGTCACTTCAGGTCTGTTATTATAAAGATCACAATTTCTCATCATGTCATTAATTAATAGACAAACTGGATAATCTGCTGTGTTGTCCATCCTCTTACGTAACTCCCGGTAATATTTACTAGCGTCCAGCACCATCAGCAGATTGAGTTTGTGTCCCAAAGCTGCGTAACAGGGATCAGACTGATCAAACCTGCAGAACCGATCCAGACCTGAAGAACAAAACACACACACACTGTAAAGCTTTTTTTTTTTTTTTTTACAGAATCTGTAAACGTCTGTGATTTTAATATAAAAAGCAGTTAGAAATTAGTTCAGGAAAAATAAATTAAATATTAATATCAATATTAATTAAATATTATGTAATACTTTCCACAGTAACACTTCATTTATAATTTACCATAAACATCTATTGTAGGTTCACAGGTAGACATACATTTTTTTGTTCCCATGGTCTATGCGTATGTGCAGGGCCGTCGCTAGTATTTCTGGGCCCTGTGCACTGAATTTGCTATGGGGCCCCCTCAAAATCACTTGGTGGGGGGGTAAAGTTTTTTTACTCAGTACTGTTTGTTAACCCCTGGACTGGACAAATCAAACCCATCCGTCCCACAAATCCCCCCTTCAATTAATACATAAAACAGGACAGAAACAAATGCTGATATACATTTCTGAATTCACAACAAATGCAACAAACTTAATAACGCATTTTTGTCACATATAAAAGCACTTGACAGTAAAGCATTGATTTTGAGCTAGACTGCTGTAAAGTTACTGTTAATAAATTCTGAAATAATTTCCTTAGTGACTTTCCAAATGACTTTCTTCTGTTGAACAGAAGATTTTGTAGAATGTTACCAAACCATTTTTGGTTACCCTTGATTTCTACTCTATGGACAAACATTTCTTGAATTTCTCAAATTATGTTCCACAGAAGAAAGAAATTCATACAGGTTTGGAATGATATGATGCTGAGTAAATGATGACATGATTTACAATTTTGGTTGAATCTCCCTTTAAGAACTTTAAGAACTTTATTATTTGTAAATAATAAACACCTAATTTATATAAGACAATGATATTTATCTTTAATCAGGCCCTTATTGAATTAACATTTTATTCAATTAAAATTCATTAGAACTAAACATCTAAAAAGAAAGAAGTTCTTGTTTAGAATATAGAGTTTAGCTGACTAGTATTAGTAGGATGGCGGTCATAAGAAGTAAAACCATGGTCCTCATTACCAAGGTTATATGGTTTTTAAAATAAATAAGTAATAATAAACTATACAATTTGTAGTTAAAAAAAATAAACATGAAGAAACTACAAAACAACTTCTATAAAATTAAAATATTTCCCAATATGTAACAACAGTAATATTTATAATAAAAACATTTCTGCCAACACATATAGGCTATTTGTACAGTGTCAATAACTTCAAGTTAAAGCACTATGGTGCTGAATTGACAATATTGGCGTTTTCCAATATACCTAATTGTCGTGGCTGTTTTCGGCTAGCATCACTACAGAACCTTTAATGTTCTCACATCACTCGACTGTATAATTCTGTCACATCTGAATGGTTCAAGCGACTTATGCAGTTTATCACTTATAAATTGTGGCAGAAGCACGGCGCTGTGCGGTGGCTGATCTCACTCTTCATTGTTTGAAATGTTTTTTTTTTCCTTTGGAACAATGTCTCAAAAAGGCCAGCAGCATCTCCAACCAGTGAGGAATCGGTTTCTCAAACTTTCTACCATTCTCTTCTCTCTCTGTCCTGCTTAGATCCAGTTTTTTTTCTTCATTCAAGACAGTATGAAATAGCCATCAAAGAGTTTCTAGAGAAACCGGTCACTTTTTGGACTATAAGAATTGTTGACCATATTTCAGTTCACAGTGAGCATTTTATTTCCCTATATATTTCACTCTTTAATACACATAATGCACTCTAAATTGTCACATTTAATTATGAACAATATCTTTGCTGACTAACTCATTTACTGAGGAAACATATTATAAAAGGGGTCATATGATGCTGCTAAAAAGAACATTATTTGGTGTAATGAAATGTGTTTATGCGGTTTAAGGTTAAAAAAACACAATATTTTCCACATACTGTACATTATTGTTTCTCCTCTATGCCCCGCCTTTCTGAAACGCGTCGATTTTTACAAAGCTCATCGGTCTGAAAAGCGAGGTGTGCTGTGTTTGGCCAGCTATCCAGTGCGTTGTGATTGGCCGAATACTTCAAGCGTGTGACGGAAATGTTACGCCCCTCACCATACTGTGATGCCCTGTCCGGCCGGAGCGACGAGACAAAAACATTAAAACCCATTACAAACGAGTCATTTGTTGCATCCAGTGGGGACATAATTACTGATTATAATGACTTATCGTTGACTTATCATTGCATCACGCCGCGTAAACATATAACCATGTCTGCATTTGTGATCAGAGAAATGACAAACAACAAGCGCTACTCTACACTGCTCAAAACTCGCGTTTGAATCGTCAGTGGCAAATCCTTTAAATATGAAAACGTACTTACAGTCTGTGAGTCAGAACAGCCGGCATTGTAGTCTACTCTCCCAGGATCAGTAAACAGTCCTTCATAAAATGTGCTGCACACATCTGAATATTTGGGTTGAAGTGTGCTGGAACAGTGTTGTAAATACAACTTAACCACTGATTTCTAGTCGTGTCCTCTTCTGGAAGACCAAACAAAGTAGTTTCGCTTTCACAATGAAACACAGCGCCTTCACGACACGGCGGCGGCAGCAACAATACTACAGCGAGAATAAAAGTTACTCCTTTCTTTGCGTGAACATTTGGGCGGCGTTATGCAAATCTTCCCACACAGTGATGTAGACATGTGGGGGCGTGTTAGAACGAGCCGTTTTAGGTAGGCGTGGCTGACTCTTAACCTTTATAAAGAATATCTCTTTGGATTTGAGACTTTAGTCTTTGCAACTTTACAGATCTTCTTTATGCACCAAGAGCTTGTAACACTCCAAAGAGAAAGGAAAAATTTAAAATCACATCATATGACCCCTTTAAAATATCTGTTTGACATTGGAATATCAGCTTATTTATTTATTTATTTTGTATGGTCTCAGTCAAAAAGCAAAACTAAATGTTGATTGTATTCAAATTCCATTATCATGCTTTCACTGTCTGCAAACACTTTATGCTCTTTATATATTCTCAATATTGTCTGTTTTACTAAATTTCACAAATGAAAATGATTCAGAATTGTTGTGCGTCTCTTAACAACACCCAGCGGTGTTTGGTTACTGAATGAATCCAGTAAAGTAAAAATCAGTGAGTTTTCCAAGACATGCGGGCTCTGGTTGTAAAAACAGCAGAGATTTACATTCCTGAAGAAATTGGATAAACTTTTACAGGTGAGAATGAGTTGGTTTGTGTTTTTATATGTATTTACTCAATGTAACATGTTTTCAAAACATGGTAACTTTTTTAATGTTGCTTTAGCTAAAGCCTTCATCTGGTATTGTGTTAAACAAAATCATCTACTGAAGTCTGTTCAACTTTCTCTCGCACAATAAATCCCCACTATCTAATACTGCTTTGAAAGCATATTTGAGACTAAACATATCCCATCATTCATTACGTTCAGGAACTCATTGCTAAATATTTTTTTTATTGCATTATTACAAACCTAGTATGTAGTGTGTCCCATTAGTTAAACAAAAGTACTACACACATACATGTGGTCATCAAACCCACAACACTTCAGCTAAATACAGGAAATGTATTGTGCAAGTAGACAAGCGGACAAGTGCAAAGACCGCAGGTGTGGACATTGTGACAGGACGTGTGTATATACAGTGGTGTGAAAAGGTTTTTGCCCCCTTCCTGTTTTTTTTAATTTTTTTGCATATTTGTCACACTTAAAAGATTCAGATCATCAAATAAATTTTAATATTACACAAAGAATGCAAGTAAATACAAAATGCAGTTTTTAAATAATGATTTCTTTTATAAAGGGAAAAAAGCTGTCCAAACCTGCCTGGCCCTACGTGAAAAAGTAATTGCCCCATAAATCTAATAACTGGTTGTGCCACGCTTTGCAGCAACAACTGCAATCAAGTGTTTGTGATAACTGGCAGTGAGTCTTTCACTTCACTGTGGAGGAATTTTGGCCCACTCTTCTTTGCAGAATGGTTTTAATTCAGCCACACTGGAGGGTTTTCGAGCATGAATGGACTGTTTAAGCATCTCAATCATATTTAAGTCCGGACTTTGATTTGGCCCCTCCAAAACCTTAATTTAGTTTTTCTTGAGCCATTCAGAGGTGGACTTGCTTGTGTGTTTGGGATGTGTTGCTCTTTAAGCATGCTTCACTTTGTCAGACAGCTTCTATTTAAGTGATTTCTTGATTCAACAGGTCTGGCAGTAATCAGGTCTGGGTGTGGCTAGTGAAATTTAACTCAGCTTTCTAAAATAATGTGGTTAATCACAGTTCTTTCATGATTTAACAGGAGGGGGCAATTAATATTTCACGTAGGGCCACGTAGGTTTGGACAGCTTTTTTCCCTTAATAAATGAAATCATCATTTAAAAACTGCATTTTGTATTTACTTGCATTATCTTTGTGTAATATTAAAATTTGTTTGATGATCTGAATCTTTTAAGTGTGACAAATATGAAAAAAATGTAAAAACAGGAAGGGGGCAAAAACCTTTTCACAGCACTGTATATATGTCACGATCTCCAGCTGATTCTGTACCTTGCCATTCACTCAGGACTCCATTTCCCATAATCCTCATCAGCACTCATTATCAGTTCACAACTGCCTCATATTAGTAGGACTGTAAGAATAGCACACACTCTCTGTCTTCGTTGGTGATTGAATGTTGTAAAAGTAAAAGTCTATAAAAGTGTGTGTGTGTGTGTGTGTGTATATATATATATATATATATATATATATATACACACACACACACACACTGTATATGCATGTAACCAAGCAACACTGTCCATTAAAGATGCAAATAGTAGTAGTTTGTCCCAAAGCTTGTCTATTCTGCTACTCACTCAAAATTATGTAGATACGTTTTCTTCACAAAAAGAGCACATACTTTTAGGGCAGATTGGAAGTGCATTTGTAGGGGTGAAAAAGAGAAGTTAGACAGGGACAGAGATCTGTAAAAAGAGGAGCGGAAAAGATGAACCATGTGATGAGGTGTGAAAAGAACAGCACTGCAGGCAAAGAGTTTAAAATAAATGTTAGCTTAGTTTGCAAGCTCTTAAAAGGGAAAGTAATATGTTTAAATGAGTCAGTGAATGCTATTTACATTTTCTGATACAGAGGTACAAAAATCACTTGTTATACTTGGTCTAAAAAGACTATATAAAGACTATTCTATCATCTTGATTTCATGGATCTTAAACTTACAGGGTCTTACTGTGACTTAAACACTTTCTCTGACATATTATAATTCTACACTAATACACACAGTTCAAGAAGGTCAGAAAACTCTAATGCTAGATCACTGCAGACTCTTAATGTACTATTATATTCATCAGAGATTAATCTGATTTCACATAAGATGAGTTTGATGTGAAAGTGACTCACATGCAGCAGTTTGCCGCAGCAGCAGCATCAGTCCAAAGATGAGCATCATTTCTCTAAAGTCCAGTTTCCAGAAGAGCCCAATCCCAGCAGAAGAGTGTCAGATCGTGTCTCATGCAGCGAAAGAAAGAGCAAGTTTCCTCATATGAGGGGAAGTTAGTTTATGAGAGAGAGAGAGAGCGATCTCAGTCATAGAACCTATTGCATTATATGGCAGAAAAAGTTCCCTGATTCAGACGGTCCTGAAGCTGCAAAAACAAACTAACATGACTAACAACATTCAAATATTGAATTGAAATTGAGAGAGAGAGAGAGATTTTTAAAACGTCTTTATTACAATAAATGAATTCAAACTTTATAAGGTCATCCATAGCTTTATAATAATTAAAATCTATTAAGATTCTAGATTTTACAGAATTACAGAACACTGCTTCCAAACTATTGCATACAACTTCATCCACATTCTCCTTTCTTGTAATATAAATCGCCATTTCTGCATGACCTAATATAAAATTAAACACCTGACATTGATACTTGCGGCTCTGGGAATATTTAAAACCACAAATAAACGTCATTGAAAAATGCTCATTAAAACATTTAAAAATATTATTTAAAACAATAAATAAAGGTTTCAACCTTGAACACTGCATGAATTAATGAACTGCGTGAGAAGAGTAACTCTTATTAATATTTACATGTTTTATAGTCATTGCACATAAATCTAGAAATATGAAGTAAATTTTAATCTAAAAGTTCAGCGTGCTTGAATCCGCGCATGCGTGTTTTGACCCACGCTTTGAATCAGAGGGACCTTTCTGTTTTAGATTTCTGATTTGTAATACTTTGGTCCGTGTGCATTTCAACAGCTTGATTCTTGTTTGCTTGACTCATTATACTGTACATTGACGTTCATATTAATCACATAACCTCATTAAAGTTAACTTGCGTGCGGTCACAGTGAGTGATATTTCAGCGAAAATGTTTTCAATAGTTCAGAGATTCACAAAGCTGTTTTTCACGTAAAAACTTGAGCACAATTGGAAATTACTGGAAATTATTTAACACTGTAACTTAACTGCTAGCTAGCTAACATCATTACTAAATAAAACAATCGCATAGTTTAGCATAATGCTAGTTTCTGCTCTTTCAAATACTCAACTGACATAATAGAGAGAGTTTAGAGCAATAACATTGTAGTAATCTCATTAATTGTCGTGTTTTGTCGCTATGCGAAACTAATATACTACCTAACGAAGAGTAACTCTTATTAATATTTACATGTTTTATAGTCATTGCACATAAATCTAGAAATATGAAGTAAATTTTAATCTAAAAGTTCAGCGTGCTTGAATCCGCGCATGCGTGTTTTGACCCACGCTTTGAATCAGAGGGACCTTTCTGTTTTAGATTTCTGATTTGTAATACTTTGGTCCGTGTGCATTTCAACAGCTTGATTCTTGTTTGCTTGACTCATTATACTGTACATTGACGTTCATATTAATCACATAACCTCATTAAAGTTAACTTGCATCCGGTCACAGTGAGTGATATTTCAGCGAAAATGTTTTTCAATAGTTCAGAGATTCACAAAGCTGTTTTTCACGTAAAAACTTGAGCACAATTGGAAATTACTGGAAATTATTTAACACTGTAACTTAACTGCTAGCTAGCTAACATCATTACTAAATAAAACAATCGCATAGTTTAGCATAATGCTAGTTTCTGCTCTTTCAAATACTCAACTGACATAATAGAGAGAGTTTAGAGCAATAACATTGTAGTAATCTCATTAATTGTCGTGTTTTGTCGCTATGCGAAACTAATATACTACCTAACCCTAAAGCACCTGTTGCCATCAGCGATTGTGTTTTATAGGACTCATTTTGAAAAGTGTGAATAGAAAGTGTTAGTAAAAGTGTGTTTACGCTTCTTTATGATGGTATTCAACTTATAGATAATTCCAGTCCAGTCTTGTCAGTTATATCTTTTATTTTGCTCAAACAATCTGTAATTTGTTGGTTAAAAAGCAAAGTCTTATGCTAGTACCCTACATTACATGCTATATTGTTTAGTTGTCTGTTTGTAGGAGAATAATGATCTTTATAGATTTTTTTTTAAATCGTGACAATCAATTTATATAGAATTTATCCCCCCATCCCCACCACCTTTTTAATATAAATAAGCTCCAGTCAAGCTGCGATATCAAATAGGACCACAGGGAGACGCCAAAATACCACTAAATCTGCTGTCTTGATCTTACTGTACATGCTACTATACGATCCATTCAGAATAACTAGACCAGCGCATAATCTAAAACACTTTCAGTCACCATCCAGTATAACACTCCTGCTTTTAAACCAAATATATGCTTAAAATAATAATTTACTGACATCTGGACTCGACTCTCCACAATCTCTGATGAAATCGGTTGGGTTTTCTCTGTAGTAGAGCTGTTTTGAATTTACTGTTTGAACGCATTCGTTTACTGGATCCTCGGCATCCTCGCAATCATATTTCAAAGGAAGCCGGCGCCACGGTCCTGACCGCATCACTGTTTTTACTGGGTGTTTTTAGGGAATTTTTATTTATTTTTTTAATGCGATTGGATTAGCTTTTCATGTGGTGGACGGTCATGATTTTGGCTAATGCAGGACACTAATGAATGATGCGCATCAGAGGGGATTTAGAAGTGGGTATACGCAAAGCCGACTGATAAAGTAGTGGGTATGTGCCGTATACCTGCATATACCCTCCACTACACCACTGTTTATAGTTATATATAAAATACTCATTTTGTGAAAGAAACACTTCTTCAAATTATATTTTAAATGATCATGAGGCCTATTGCCGCTTGCCCACTTCAGACATTATGCCTAATAATGTGCATTTTTCTTCTTCAAATTATAGATAAATGGTTTTGTAGTGATTAATTTTAAATCTAGATTAAATCAAGGTTTATCTAATAATTCTGTTGCACCAAACTTTAAACCTTTAAAATAAGCAGGTTTACATTTTAACCCATAATTTTGATCCTGGATTTAAGTTATATTTAAGATTAACATTAATCCTGTTGCACCATAACTTAAAATCTCGATTATGGATTAACTTTAAACTTAATGGAGGTTTAAATCAAATAAAATGCACATGCAAATAAAATATGTAACTGATCGAACAAAACCAGTGGAGATCTGACAAAAACAGGTCTCAGAGGTGTTTATTACAAATAAAAATAAAAATGAAAGCACATGGAGTTGGCAGAGTGCGAGGGTCGTGGCGGGATGTGGATCTGTCACTCATGGTGCACCTCAGTGTCGGACAAACAGAAGAAGTGAGGAATATTTTAACAGCAGCGGTGACGGTGATGATGAGGCGAGCACCAGTGAAGTTTCTCATGCCCGCTCCGTGTGTCTGCTGGGCGGCGATCAAACGGACAGGGCAGCTTGTTTCACGAGCGGAGATCGCTACTAGACGAATCATGTCATTTGTTTTTTCTTATCTCGATTCTTTTGTCGTAAGTTATGCTATTACTCCAGTAATTTATACTAGCCTATATCCAGCACTCCCTGAACCCAGTCTCTGGTTTATTGCCAGTCAAGCGCAACACTGCAGGGACGCGTCTATAACGACTTTGATCTGATCATAAAGTCTTTCCGAGTCACAGGGCTCAAGTCCAAGTCAAGTCTCGAGTTATTGCTGTCAAAGTCTAAGTTGAGTCTCAAGTCTTCTTTAATTATGTCGAGTCTCGAGTCATCAAATTTGGGACTCGAGTCCGAGTCAAGTCTCGAGTCATGTGACTCGAGTCCACACCCCTGATTATTTGACCCTTAAAAAAAAGTGCCTTCACAATTTCCCATAAAGGGAATAGATACAAATTGGGAAAAGGATTATTACAATCCAGGTAAATGAACCCCAAAGAATAATCGGTTAACAATTTCAATTAATTTTCAGAAAGGGCTGACCTTCATTTGTCAAGTACTCTGGCCACCAAACAGGTAGATCTCACCCCCAGCCGTTCATTCATTGAATTCACATCTTTAAAATCAGTTCCTGCTATATGTTGTACATGTCCAATAGTTGAAATTCCAGAGTTAAGAAGATCCTCTATCACAGAGTAACCCAGTTCTTTGGACCGATCCAGACGTGAGCCAAAAATTAATGGCTCTTGCAGCAACCAGTATAATGAATTTACAGTCCTTTTCTTTTGAACTTCAAACAAAGCCCACACTTTAAATAAATTTCGATAAAAAAAAAAACAACAAAAAAAAACACAGGAAACTTGGAGAGTTTCAGCTTTTGAGGATCCATCCAAAATAAAACTTTATCCAGACCTAGACCATCAAACTCCCTAAATATAGAGAAAGCTACAATCCTCCAGTTTGCATCTTCTGAACCTTTTAGAAGTCTTTGTATGTACTGAATTCGGAAAGCTGCTATTCAACTCTGCAAATGTACCAGTCCATGTCCTCCTTCGTCTTTAGAAAGGTACAGTGCATGTTTTGGCACCCAATGTAACTTATCCCAGAAGAAATCTATTAAAATTGACTGGATCTTTATCACAAAGTCTGCTGGGGGTCTACACAAAATCACACAATGCCAGAGAGTGGAGGCTATTAAATGATTAATAATCAATATTCGCCCCTTATAAGACATTTTTGGAAGTAAAAACTTCCACTTATTTAGGCGCCCTTTTACCTTCTCAGTAACATCTTCAAAATTTCTCTTTACAATATTCTCATTACCCCCAAAAAACTCCCAAATATTTAAAACCATCCCTGGTCCATTTTAGACCAGCTGGAAAAATGGGTTCACCACATAACCAACTTCCAACAATTATGGCTTAACTTTTTTGCCAATTCACTTTTGCAGAAGAAACACTTTTAAAATCTTCCAATAAGCGCAATATCATGTTCACATCATTTTGACCTTTAATTAGTACCACCAGGTCATCAGCGTAAACTGATAATTTAACAGTATTGGTGGAATTTGGAATGACCACACCTGACATCTCAGCTCTTAACTTATTTAAAAGAGGTTCTATGGCTAATGTATAAAGCATACCAGATAATGCACAGCCTTGCCTGACCCCTCTTCGCTTAGGGAGAGATGA